TGGCAGGACCGGCCTGGGGCCAGTCCATAGGCCTTGGGGGGACCGCATCCGGCCCCCAGGCCTTAGGTTTCCTACCCCAGTTCAGAGAGCATTGGAAAAATTGATTTATTCCCTATTTAAGAGACGATGTGGACAAGAATTAAAACTACTTGTTAACTTTAGTCCTGCAAGATGTGTGGGGTTTGCAAAAGATCAAGAGATTTACAAGGGATTAGCCAAAGACCAGTTTACTGAGTGAATGAATATCCATTTCAAAACAAATTTCTCCCATGATCGCATTTACTATAAGGAAAAGGTAGCTCCATTGCAGATGCAATTACCGATATTTATTTAGCTCCATTTTTGTGTACAAAATATTTTAAAGCAACCAAAAGATTGTGTATACACACATGTTATTCACGAGTGCACCACCAATCAATGACTCACTTGCAGATGTGAGTAAACTACATACAACTCATTTGACATCATCCCATCTTGTGCATCATTTCAAGTGTGGTGTTTTTAGAGGAATCAGTTCATATATTCTACTATTAATTGCTGTGTTCTGACTGAGTCATAGGTAGAGTTGTTTTCTATAAGCCACTTGGACCAATTTTAGAGAGACAGGGTATACATTTATTAAATAAGATAAAATGTATTGTGCTTGTGGAGACTAATAATTTTGTGACAATTATCATTTGAACAGAGAGTAGGGTTAAAACTGGTAAAGCAGTAAGCCCCAATGCTTCACTGTGCACAAAGGAATGATAAATAGCCTTGTGATTGCTACAAGAAAGGACAAAGAAGATTGAACCTGGTATTCATTTATGTGGTTTCAAAGTCTTCATTTCATGTTGATTTTTTTTAATACATTCTTGAAGCTTTGCACCTGCAGCCACCTACTCAAGCCTGTTGTGGAGGAAATGGTGTTTTTTATTTTGCAATGTAATAGGGCTCCGGCAGAGGAGTGAAGGGCGAGTTGGTTGGATGTGTTTTAGTGTGGGCTGGAGTATGGGAGATGTGAGGAACCAGTCATTTTGAATCTGTACGGTATCAAATGTACACTATAAGTACTCCCAATTCTTTTGCATGTATAATTTCTCAGTTGTATGCCTTCTGTGCCATCTTCTCACTAACTAAACCCATTTAGGTTTTTCTTTTAAAAATATTTTACCAAGCATTTCCCATTACAAATTCAAAATTTAAAAAGTGAGCTTCAGATAAACCAAACCACAAAGAAAAAGCGATACACTTGACTAGAGGAGGAAAGTTTTCAAAGTAATGTAAAAATATATAACAATTAAATTTGCCTTCCCCAGACTGACACCACCTATATATGATGGACAGCATCATCCACAATCCTGCAGTGAACTATGAAAAATATATTACAAGCCTGCAATTCGGTATTTCTAATGTTCATGTATCTCCAGCCTAGCTGCTTATGGAGCCCCCCTTTTGTGTTTCTTTTTCTTTTATTGATCCGGATCCTTACAAATTGCCTTTCATCAAAAGTTATCAAGTTGGTAAACAATAAATATTTTAAAAAGTATTTACACTGACAATAAAATAGTATAGGATATATCAATCAAATTAAAATGCCCAAGGAATTAGGAACGTTGTGTGTGTGTGTGTGTGTGTTACATTATTAACAAATATAAAATAATACAAACAACAATTTCTCTTGCTACAGAGTTAGATTTAAGACATCTTTTGGTATATAATTGACATGTCTTTATACTAAGATGTGTTTTAACATAAACTTGTTTGGTTTCCTGGAAACCCACGTGGGATGTTTGTTCTCTTTGCAAAGATAATAAAAGTGGTACCAAGTTGATTGAAATATGGTAATGATGGTTATTCCTCGCACATGTCCATAATTTTGTGTGGGTTTTGTGCTTAATACCATGCTGGCTCCTAGGATGTGTTTAGACCCCTTCTATTCAATCTTACTGGATTGCCATCTGCACACAATTTTAAATACAGACTCGCACTGCTTAGCAGATGAGTCTCATATTTTGGTTCCCTATTACTGAAATCCAAGAGTAAGAAGCCTGATGCAAAAGTATTTCCAAGTCAGTACCACTGCTCCACAATTAAGACACATAACAGAAAAGGTTCTCTACTTAGCAGTCATTTCAGGTGCTTTGAGAAAAGGACAGATCTCAAGACATGTGCAAGCTAGCCCAAGAACAGTGGCGTCCCTAGGGTTGGTGTCTCCTGGTGCGGTAACTCATGGTGTCACACACACACACACTGACCTCCCATTTCACACCACAGAATCCTAAGTCATGCTTTTCTTGCACTAATGATACCTGTAAATCGCACTCCCCATATACTACTGAATGTAATGCTGATAGTTGTGACATAAACAACTAGCAACATTTTAAATGATACCTTCAAATTACAATATCATATGCACAACCTAAATGTATGTACATATAGATAGTGAAGATTTGGTTAAAATGTGATGCTTTTAAAGAAAATTTTAATTTTAATTTTAAAATGTAGGAGGGCGCTCCTTTCTCCTCCCACTCCACTCCCACCATCTTTTAAATCATTTTAAAGAGAAGCAGATGAATACCACAAAATGTAGGTGTTTGAGGAGCAGTGGGGTCACACACACCCTTAGGGTGTCACCTGTTGCTGTCTGCACCCCCTGCACCCATCTAGTGACGCCACTGCCGAAGAAGAGCTGTTCCTGTGGGTATTTCAGTCTATATGGTCTGTAGGGATGGTAGCTCACTGCACATGAATGTAAGTTGTCGTGTGTCATCCAAGACCTCTCAATGTTCAGCTCAAGGCCAAACTCAATTCACAATTTATCTCTCTCCCCTATAGCTATAACTGCTGGAAGAGAGGCTGATGAAAATGTTAATGTTGATGTTACAGAAAAGAAGGAGAGAAGGGGAAAACATCCTAAAGACTGCTTGCTTTCTGGAAGCATAGTTTCTGAGGGGAGCACAGTAAAGGATAATTTATTTCTGTCTTCTGTAGCTTTCTGGACTGTTGCTGCATCTGGAGATTGGGAATGCATCTATACGGTAGGAATAATGCACTTTGATACCACTTTAAGTACTGTAACTCCATCCTATGGAATCCTGGGACTTGTAGTTGTACAAGTTCTTTAGCATTCTCTGCCAAAGGCTGCTGGTGCTTCACAAAGCTACAAATCCCAGGGTTTGGTAGGATGAAGCCATGGCAGTGAAAGTGGTATCAAACTATATTATTT